ACTGTGGGACGATTCAAATTTTAGATAGAGGTGAGTGAAGAGAAAAGGAAGAGAAGGGAGATCACCGTAGAGACACTTGCATGTAGGCAATAACACTCATAGATGAGTGCCATGATGTACAGGGCTGTTGAAGGAAAGAAAATGAAACAAAATCGAACGACTGTAGCAGCAGAAAAGCGGAATTGAAGCAGGAATTTTCTTTACATTCGCTGCGTGCATGTGCGTGGTGCCGATGCCACAACAACGATCGACTACACACGCACATCAATACGCGCGTTGCGGAGTTTCGAAGGTCTACAAAGGCGTCCGATTGCTTTTACGTTTGCTGTAGATTCTGCGGATGTCTTTGTTTCTTGCCGTTCAAGAGACCCTCTGAGAGGGCATCGTTGCTCATCCGCATTTCATAGTACTTTCGCTTCGTCTCATGCAGCTCGCGCCGTAGCCGCTCCGCCTCGTACTTCAACTCTGAAATGTGCGTCGACGTCATATTGAGCTCCGACGCCTTCTGCTTCATCACAACATTCTTGTGCTGCAGGTCCTTCTGATACACATTCAGCTGCTGCGCCACCTCAAGCCCGGGCTGGCGGGCGAGTATGTTCTGCAGCTCCGTCACAAGGCGCTGCTTCTCCTGCAGCTCCATGTCTTTCTCCACGCACTCCTCCGACTTTGTAATGAGGCGGCGCTGCAGGTGTGTGATTTTGCGCTCGAGCTCCTCCGGCGTGGGGTCTTGCCCTTCCACCTTCTCCCAGCGCAGCGCATTCTTCGGGTTCTCGGCTTCCTCCGTGAGGGCCTGGACTCTGGCGCGCTGTGCCGTCAGCTCGTACTGCAGCTGCTTGATATCCTCCTTTAGCTGCTCCGTGTGGCGGGCACGTGTCTGGGCGATCATCGACTGCCGCTTCAGCTCCTCAATTTTTAGCCGTAGCAGCCGCATATCCTCCTGACGTGCGCGGTACGCTGCCTCTCCGTTGGTGAGGGCTTCCTGCTGTGTGCGCACCTTCTCATACAACAGCGCAAGCTCGTCGTTGCGGCGAATGAGCTGTGTGCCTAGAAGATCCCGCTCGCTACTCACTGCCAGGAATCTCTGACGCTGCTGGCTCAGCTCCACGTCACACTGGTTAATGACCTTCACGAGCTGCTTGATCTGCTGGCTCACGTTTTCACACTGCTGGTTGGCCTCATCAAA